ACAAATTCTCTGGCAGGTAAACAGCTCCTATATATGCATTTAGTGATTTGACAAAAGACCAGGTTGCAAAAAAACAAAAAATAATAGATCCCTTTCATCGTTTCTCTGACTGGTTTCAATCAGTTCTCATTGTCCCTTTCAGTCCTTCATTCCTTATGGAAATTCTAAGCATCTCTGTATTTTTCCATCAGAACCAGTTTAAGTTAAATTCTTTTGTTCTTAATCCGAATTCTACTCTGCATCCCTTCTCTATATCACATGCTGCAAATCCTCCAGTGGATAACCTCATCATTATCAGAGCATTATTCAGCAGGATTAAGCCATACTATATGTACATTTGACCTCGCCTACAAATGACTTCTGTCCATTAATCACGATAGGTAAATGGGCCACCTCTGCTGGGGATGACATCAGAAAAACTGCTACTTCATTATATCATATGTGTGAGGCTTGATCTGCAATACCCAGAAGGCACCTGAAGGGAGGCCAACACACATAGGGTATAATATAACTCCATTTAACCAATACATGTCATTCTCTTCTCAATCTTCTATGGATTAACTGAGATCCTCCTGAATTATAGAGAAAACTACCAAGGAGTATCAACCGGTTGAATTTAAAGTGGAACTATTAGTAACTTTACACATAAATCCCAGGCATGTCAAAATATACAGCAATTGTATATTTAAAAAAAAAGAAAAAAATATATACAGTTTATCATTAAAACTCAATCCTTGTGATCCAGCCCATTGACCTTGTCTAGGCTGTGATGATGTTATCAGTTTGCTGCAGGCAATCCCTCAGTCTTTTTTCCTCCAGTGATCACTTAGACTGTGCACTATAACTGTGTAGCGATCTGCAAGGTGAGAGGCTGTAGCAGGGGCTGATCTGTGTCAAACATTTGTGAGCACAGCCAAGACTGCACAGACTCCAGGAATTACTGAGTCATCTTTGATTTATCAACTCAGCCCCAGGGAGTAGATCCGACCTTTAAAGTGTTACTAAACCCACAACAGTAAAAGTCTTTATATGCAGTAAAGCATGCTTGTTATACTCACTGTAGAACCTAATGGTTTAATCCTCTGCATTGTGTAAAAAGGCTGTTTGATCCTGTCATCTCTGATCCTCCCCTTATTTTGCTGTCCCCAATCCACCTGCCATAGTACAGAGTCTGCACATGCTCTGTTTGGTGTATATTGCTAGAGAGCGGGGGCGGACTGACCATTTGGAAACTCGGGCACCGCCCGAGGGCCTGGGGTCAGTAGGGGGCCCCATGAGATGCCTCTGGTACCTTTTTCATAGGCTTTTTTGAGTTTGGGCAAGGACACAGGGGCCCCATGATCCCCTATTGCCCGGGGGCCCCATGAGTTGTCAGTCCGCCCCTGCTAGAGTGGTTATTTTTTTGGGGGGAGGGTGCATTTGATTGGCACAGGGCCAATCAGCACTGTCCAGACGGAAGGTCAGGGGTTATGCAGCCTCATAGGACAGTCAGAAGATAATGAAAACTCCTCCTACAAGATTAACCAGTGCTCAGCTGGACACTAATAGAAGTCACAAGACTGCTATATACTGCTGATGAGAAAAGGTATTGTATTTAGCAGTTTATATTTACTAAATAATTTCATTTCTATGCTTTATATACTGTGGAAGCCCAGATATAGTGAATGCAGGGTCGTGGGTTTAGTAACACTTTATGTTCCCTTAACAAAAATGGCTTCATTATAAAAAAAAAAAAACAGATGAGGGCATTTTCAGGGGGAGTATTGTGATCTCTGTAAAAAGTAATTTATACCTGTATGTGTTGCACTTAGTATGCATGCACTTAACTAGAAAACTATATTAAAATCTTTGTTCCAGCCATTCTCAAGTAGTTCTTTGGGATCCTATAGTTCCTCCAGAGGTTGTAAGGGGTTCCTTAAGCTATGGCTGCTTGACCTCCCATCTGATGGTGTCTGCATAGTTCCAGGACTAACCCCACTTGACAAAGCCATCAACAAGACACCAATGGCCTTTTTAGCTGTCTGTAAGGGAGGTGACCACCATTGCAAGGGTTGCATTCTTCCTATTGACCACCAGCATGAGCAGCATTCTTAACAAACACCCGAGATGAATTGGTTTGCTAAGGATTCTCTAATATAAGAAAATTATTTTAGAGGTAAAAAGTTATAAAGGGCTGTATTGTCCTATTGAAAAAATGATGAGTAACTAGGCATAGGGGACAATGAGAAATTTTTGCTTGAGAAACTGGAGAAGGATTTCCTGTCTTTCTAATCCCCCCAACAAGAGTTTACCAATGGGATTGGGGTCCTTTAAGATACATTAATATTGAAAAAAATGATGAGTAACTAGGCATAGGGGACAATGAGAAATTTTTGCTTGAGAAACTGGAGGAGGGTTTCCTGCCTTTCTGTTCCCCCCAACAAGAGTTTACCAATGGATTTGGGTCCTTCAAGATACATTAATATTGTCAAAGCTTATGTCCAGCCAAAAACAGTTTTTGAAAAAAGTGGGGGAGACTTTATTGCTGTCTGTGTCCTTACTGGAGGTTTTCAATGACTTCCTGTTCCAGTGTCACTCCATCACAGAGACAGAAAGTGACTAAAAATCTCTTTACCAGTACCAAAGATATAATCATCACAGGGGACAAGGGGCCACTGTTTACGTCTGGATAAAATGAGATATAGATAGGGATCTTTACAGTAAAAGTTGTGAAAATGTGCAAGAGACACCCTCAAGAGTTGGTTCTGGCCAGCTCAGTAGATCGTTTTAAAAAAGGTGGATTCTTTCTTGGGTGCACATAATATAACTGGATACTAATATAGGTAAAGTTGATCCAGGGAATATCCTATTGCCACTTGGGGGATCAGGAAGAAATTATTTCCCCCCTGCTGGAGCCAATTGGATCATGCTTTATTGGGGTTTTTTTTTGCCTTCCACTGGATCAACTGTGGGTATAAGATAAGATATAGGATTGTACAACTTCTATTGTTTGAACTGGACGGACATGTTTTCAACTAGACTACTGTAATTATGTACTATGTGAATGAAACCCTTTGTTCCATTATATTGAAACAAGGTTGTTTTTATTGCAGGGTGTCACCTGGACAGGAAGCAAAGAAAAAATCTCCACATATGGAGACACTGACAGCATGAAATCCTGACTGGAGTTCTATCCCTTCTTCAGTCTAAAAGAGAAAAAAAAAAATTGGCCAGATTTCCACTTTTGACAACACAGTGGAACAATTTAGCTAGCAAACGCTGTAAAACTCAATGGGCACAGCTTCGTAGCAGCTGTTTGTTCTCTGCCCAATTTTACGTTAATTCTGGTAACATATTTCCAAATCGCCCATATAGTTTTAGCCTTTCAACAATTACTATTGCTGCATTTATAGTATCAGCTGTTATTACAGTTCACAGCTGTTGCCATTGCTAAAATTACTCTTCCTATTGCATTGTATTTCTATAGTCACTATATGACCAAGTCTTTGGATACCTAGACATCACAACTACATGAGCTTGTTGGATATCACCTTCCAAAACCATGGAGATGACCTCTTTGGTAGCTATAACATCCTTCACTCTTCTTGTAAAGCTTTCCACCAGATTTTGGAGTGTGTCTGTGGGAATTTGGACCCATCTATCCAAAAGAGCATTTGTGGGATCAGGTACTGATGTTGGACGAGAAGACCTGGCTCATAATTGGCGTTCTAATTCATCTCAAAAGACATTCAGAGGGTTGAGGTCAGGGCTCTGTACAGGTCACTCTAGTTACTATACACCAAACTCATCAAATCATGTCTTTGTAGAGCTGGCTTTGTGCACAGGGACACAGTCATGGTGGAACAGACAAGGACCTTCACCAAAATGTTCCCACAAGGTTGGATGTGCACAATTGTCCAAAATATATTTGTATGCTGTAGCACTAACAGTGATCTTTATTGGAAAAAGTCTAGAATTGCATTCTTTTGTAATTTATCAGTTGATTTATAATGGGAAATAATTAATATTACGTATTATTACCACTGATATTAATATTACCAAAGTTGTTAGAGCACTGCTATGGCATCTTTTATTATCCCATGGCATGCTTCCATTTAATGGCCTCTAATACGTTCTAAGGAGACATTTTATTTACCAGTTTTATTTCTTTACAATTTCACTGCACTTCGCAGAGTTCACAAATCATACATATAGGTCTCTGTTCCCAAATGAGCTTAGTATCTAATGGCTTACACATTACTTAACATAATAAACATTACTTAACATACTAGGACCACATTTGGGTGGAAACATCTAGTATGATTTTTTTGGTTATTGTAGTGCAGAAAAAAAAAGAGTACTGGAAAAAGCCCCCATAAAATTAGGAAATTAGGAAAACAATAGAAAGCTCTATATACATAATGTTCCTGTTTGGAACATAAAGGACCGGTCCACCCGACAGCCTTATTTAATTATTGAAGCCTAATGGGTTGAGCCAACCCCTAGATTTGTATGTCTTGGAAACACTAGCTGAATGCTCCCTGCCATAATGCCTAATACTGTTCCCTTCCACTGGGGAGTGTTTAGTATTTTCACCTGCCTTCATGTGTCTCAGGTCTACCTCTTACATTTTGCCTAATATCAAAATATTAAAAACTCAATGAGAACGTGGATGAGAACCTCTAATGATGGGCATAGCAGTGGTGCAGATGAAGAAGTTCAAACACCAATGTCTCTCCAAATGAGTCTCAGAAAGGCAGTTTTAATTTCCAGAATATATCAAAAGAATAAATATTCATTTTGGATGGACTGAAGCTTTAACCAAGATCCTCAACACTGCCAGGCTTGAGCACAAACCACCAAGTCACCATGCTGCCCCACAGATATTATCAGTGACACAGTACAATCGCCCTTATCCATTACAATGCGTATCACTATTCTGAATGCTGTTATTTTTAAAGTACACATAGAATTAGTATAACATGTATAATTACTAGTTCACAAGGGCGTACTGACAACTCATGGGGCCCCCGGGCAATAGGAGATCATAGGGCCCCTGTGTCCTTGCCCAAACTCAAAAAAGCCTATGAAAAAGGTACCAGGGGCATCTCATGAGACCCCCTACTGACCCCGGGCCCTCGGGCAGTGCCCAAGTTTCCAAATGGTCAGTCCGCCCCTGCTAGTTCATCATCTAATACAAAATCCTCTGAGGCACTTATTAGCCACACAACAATAGCAATTCAACATCCTACCAATTGCAGATTTTATTATTATAGAGGTGACTCTGTCAATCACTAAAAGTACTATCCTTCACTTAGTGTGCTTGAATTTGGACAAGGTCTTGACAACAAGCAACATTAAAACTTTTCCCATTGGTTGCATTGGAGGATTCCACTGGAGAGCCTAATGTGGACTCACTGTGCAACAATAAAAAAAAGAACAGTTGCAAGTTCTCCCTGAACCTCTCACCCTGCGCGTCACTGTTCATAGATACAAGATTTTCACCCAAATCAGCCATCTCCTCTTGGGCAATTTCAGATCTATAGGAATCCTGAAGATAGATGCCCCTCACCACCATAGTCCCTGGAGTTAGTAGTGTTCCCATTCCTCCTGTTCCCACTCCATATTATAAAAAAAAATAATTTGCTAAAGCATTCTGTATCAAACAATTGCATTTTTTTGAAATAGTTTTTTTGTTTTTTTTCCTTTTTAGATCTTAGTTGCCCTTCAATGCAGATGATCTACAACCGTTTTGTTGCAGCTAGTTCTTGTCTATATGCACTTCATAGGGGGGTTTCCTGAGGGTGACAAAAGTGGATCATGCCTGTGCAATGTTTTGTCACTGATACTTTTAGTCTTCATTGGGCACACGTGCAACTAGATGACAATGTAGAAGAACTGGGACAGAGGCACAGAGTGTTGTTATACAAGGAAGTACCTGAAAAAGGACCTTCACATCAGGATCAACAGTTATCATTTTAAGAAAGAATTAAACATATAGACAGGGGCAGACTGACAACTCATGGGGCCCCCGGGCAATAGGGGATCATGGGGCCCCTGTGTCCTTGCCAAAGCTCAAATAAGCCTATGAAAAAGGTACCAGGGGCATCTCATGGGACCCCCTACTGACCCCGGGCCCTCGGGCAGTGCCCTAGTTTCCAAATGGTCAGTCCGCCCCTGCATATAGAATATTTTAGAGATTTTAGTCATTCGGTTTACATACTCTCAAGTTTTGCACTGACTGACCCTCAATATAATGATCATGCATATTGTCAATACAAAATACATGACCAAGCCTACTGCTATGATATTTCAATGTTACTTGAAAGTGTGTGCAAAACTCAGACATGAAATATGAACAAATCATATCCCTCTATAGTGTGTACTTTTCTCAATCCAGAGCACTAAGTGTCATTTCTATCTGCTGCCTCCTTCCCCTATCTGTACGAGTCACGTCTGACAAGTTTTCCTGGCACCAAGAGAAAAATGGTGACCGGGGGGGATCTCCAGTGGATTGACAGCCTCAGCTCTGTTCCTGTGTGCTGTGTTAAGGGGGGTGTCTCTTCCCTCCAATCAGATGTCAGAACTCTCCTCATTGAGCTCTGCAGTGTGTAACATCAGCTCTCCACCCCACTTTTTCTGAACTCTCAGATAGCCTTATACAATCAGCCCTTTGAATCGATGTAGAGGGGAGAAAACTGCAGATAAACAGGTACAACCTATGTAGTAGGAATTGTTTAATCCCTGTGGGTATAGGATTATAACTTTTTTTTTCTATGGTTGAACTGGATGGACTTTTGTCTTTTTTCAGTCAGACTAACTATATGTATCACTTCACTGTGTATATGAAAGGGTTTACAACCACTTTCAGCTTAAAAAAAACAATTAAAAATGAAGTTGCTTATTTAATAAATCAAAGGTCATAAATGAGTAAACTATCTAAATTTCAATGATTTGTATTGCTGGCATCTCTTCAGGTTTAAACATTCAAACTGCCTTCTATTTCAGGTCTGACGGGTACTATTAAGTAACACAGACAGTTTCCATTGCAGACCCTGTGATAAGTGTCATGCTGTACCCCACAGTAATAATCTTGTCCCATCTGCTCCACACCGCCAGATGAAAATGGACTGGCTGCTGTGGCTTACAGCACTTTCCATGCCATCTTGGCTATCTGTGCTGCTTTACATATCAGCTGGCTCACCTCTTTAAAGGCAGTCGGTCATAAAGCAAAGCTATTTAAAGACTCTGAAGCAGCCAAACTCTGCATTCTAGTTCCTGGTGCAGAGAAGGTTAATCCACTCACCCAAGTGACTTCCCTGGAATTACAACGTGGTCCATGGATGCCTGCTTCAATCAGAGCTTTCTCACACAGGTGTTCTGACTTGTGACAGAAGCCTTTGAACACCAAGGAGCCAGGATGTACAAACTGACTCATAAATAAATTATGAAGAAGCAGATGCACACACTGTTTTGGCATGACACAAGTGACCTGCTGAGCTGGCAATCTGTATGATACAGTGTTTTCCGATATGCACACGTCATAGCACAACATTTGCAGTAAGGGGGACCTCTAGTGTATGTCTCCGCACAGTGCTAATGACACACGCAGCCACAGAGCGGTTAAGCCTAAATCCCAGTTAATGTGAACACGAGAGAGCCTAGTTCGGGTGACACCAGCCATTTTGGAATTCTGTCACTACAATTATTATTTAAAATCCATTTAACCATTTAATAACCACATGCTTATAAATTTCAAGCTGTTCCCAGTCCTAGTCCTTGATCCTATTCCATGTTTTCAGCTCGTTACTCCAATTTTTTTTATCTTTTAGGCTTATAACCAATCATACCTGATTCTCTCTTTGTACCTATGGACTGTGCTTTGTATATATACACACACACACACACATGCCCGCACACACATACATACATACATACATACATACATGCATTCTGTGTGCTACTGTGCAACAATGGGACAACGCAACTGGAGAACAACCCATAATGTACAGAAGTCCAGACAAGCTTGAAAAAGGGCATGGAAGGATTGGGCCATGGAAAGTGGTTCTAAAGGCTGAAGGTTTTTTTTTTTTACCTTCATGCAGTTTATACATGAAGGTAAAAAAAAACCTTCAGTGCGCACCTTTCCCCTCCAATACCAAGCCCAATTGCAATCCAGCGATGTGCAAAAGAGTGGTTGCTTTCCCAGGTCTCTGCTGTCATTGGCTCCCTCTGCTGTCAATCATAGCCAGTGAGGAGGGGGCACGGGTGGGGCCAAGCCCCGTTCTGTGTGTCCCAGAACAAGTGGCTTGCCATATGGACATTTAGAGAAGAGGTGGAGCCAGAAGCACTGGTGGGGGACCTGAAAAGAGGAGGATCAGGGCTGCTGTGTGCAAAACTATTGCACAGAGCAGGTAAGTAGGACATTGATGATTTTTTTTTTCAATATTTAACCTTTAATATAACTTTAAAACTTTAAAACTTAATATAACTTTAAAACTGATGCTGTTTTTTCTATTCAATGTGGACTGAATAAAGAATAGAGCTGTCCCATTAAACTAGCGTGAGAACCATGAGCTAGAAAAAGCCCTGGACCCATTCTAAAGTTAACTAACTACTGAAATTTAAAAAATATATATATATATATATATATATATATATATATATATATATGAATATATACACACATACACACACACTTACACATGCCACCAAGCCATTATGACCACTGACAGGTAAAGTGAGCAGAATTGATTATCTTGTTATGGTGGCATCTGAAAGTTGGTGGGAATAGATTAGGTGGCAAGTGACCATGTTGTCCCTGAAGTTGAAGTTGAAAGAAGGAAACATGGGCAAGCGTAAGCATTTGAGTTACTTTGAAAAGAACAAATTGTAATGGTTAGACAATCGGGTCACAGTAACTCCAAAACTGCAGCTCTTCTGGGATGTTCCTGGTCTACAGTGCTCCGTACCTACCAAAAGTGGTTTAAGAAAGGAAAACCAGTCAAGGTTCACTGATGCACAATGGGAGTGAAGGTTGTCCTGTGCAGTCTGAGCCAATAGTATATCTAGCTCAAATTACAGAAGATATTAATGCTGATTCTGATAGAAATATGCCTGAACACACAGTGCTTCGCAGTAGGTTGTGTATGGAGCTGCGTAGCCACAGGGTGCCTGTGCTGACCCATGTCCACAGCCAAAAGTGCCTAAAATGGTCATGTGAGCATCAGAAATGGACCATCAAGCAATGGTCTGATGAATCACATTTTGTGTTTTGCATCAAGTGGATGGCTGGATGTATGCGCATCACTTGCCTGGAGAGGTGGCACCAGGATGCATTATGGGAAGAAGGCACGCTGGTGGAGGTAGTAGTGTGAGGTTTTGTTTAGTGCATTAGTACTATTCCTTGTCTTTTAGCATTTTATACTACATCCACAGTGTACATGTATGATATGCCACCCTATATCCTAATTATTCTCCTGCCTCAATCACTGCATTTTGCAATCAACTGCTTCAATACTGTCTCCTGATGCTTATCTGTGTGTGCAAGCTATAAAACATTAATGGCATGCTTCATTATGGCTAATCATTCCATATATATATAAATATATATATATATACATATTAATGTTGCAGTCTAGTTTATAAATTCTTTACACCTTCCTCTTCTCTATTTTATCTTTGTCAGATACCCAGTCTGTATCTGACATCTCTCTTTGATCTTTTGTCATATTGGAAACAGAGAATTGTATCCACCCCCCTCTTCCATTCTAGTGGGGGGGATTATCCTCACTCGTTTCCATGCCATATGTCACTCCCCCAGCCCCCATACTCTGTCTCCTGGGAGGGGAGAGTACGAGGGGTAGAGCATGCGCAATGCAACAGCAAAGCCTTACATAAAGCATCCATGTACTGTACTGCTTCCATAGATGGGTCACCTTTCCTCTGCTCAAAGAATCAACTTCCATTTGTCCTTTAGATTAGGCTTTTAGGCACAAGAAGCATCTGTGGCTTTTAAAAGGCAATTATCTTCCTGCCAGTGCCGGTGTGCAAAAAGCAGGCATGTTTTACTCTATGTGCAGATTTTATGCATTT